AGTGGTGTAATCATGCCGTCAGGGGATCTAGAGCAGAGAAGATGTGTTCTTTGGAGTGACAAATCATGCTTTTCTGTCTGGCAATTCAATGGATGTGCCTGTGTTTGGCGGTTGCCAGGAGAACAGTACTTGCCTGACTGCATTGTGCCAAGTGTAAAGTTTGGTGGAGGGGGGATTATGGTGTGGGGTTGTTCTTCAGAGGTTGGGCTTTGCCCCTTAGTTCCAGTGAAGGGGTGTCAGCATACTAATACATTTTGGACAATTTTATGTTCCCAACTTTGTGGGAACAGTTTGGGGATTTCCAGTTCCAACATGACTGCGCACCAGTGCACAAAGTAAGGTCCATATAGACATGGATGAGCAAGTTTGGGGTGGAAGAACTTGACTGGCCTGCACAGAGTCCTGACCTCAACCCTATACAATCCCTTTTTGGGATGAATTAGAGTGGAGACTGAGAGCCAGGCTCTTGTCCGACATCAATGCTTGACCTCACAAATGTGCTTATGCAAGAATGGTCAAGCATTCCCTCCTAGCCTTCTAACACTCCTAAGCCTTGTGGACAGCCTTCCCAGAAGAGTCTAAGCTGTTATTGCTGAACCCTATGGGCTAAAACTGGGATGCCTTTGAAGTTCATGTGCGTTTTAAGGCAGGCGTCCCAATACTTTTGGCAATATAGTGTATTTGTAGCGGCATATCTTCAGGACCACAAAGTATCACACAGACATGGCCTACATTACTGGGGCAGCATTTGCAGTAGGGGTGGATGACTGACAGGGTGGCAGCACAAGCGGCACTTACGAAAACTATACAGGTCCTAAGAAGCAGTTACGAAGACTGATGAGTAGTAAAACATACAGTGGTGTCCCTAACATCTCCCTATTCGTAGAGGAACCTTTCCCTAAGGCTATCTCTATGTCCCTGACAAGCATGGATCCTTTCTATACACTGTACACACACAAATGCATTCTAAATCCAGCAGGGTCCTTCTATTTATTAACACTGCCCTCACTAAAGACAGCCACCGAAGGTTTCATGAGTTACAACATCCAATCAGACAGACACCTCCTTTGAGACATCTACGGAGTCTTCAGAGGAACAATGTTTCTCTGATTGGCTGCTCCAACTGCATAGATGCACAGCTCCACCTACACGATGGAGGACAAACTGCATCTGCCTACATGTCCATAACTCTAGATATACAGTCATGGCAAAAAATATTGACACCCCTGCATTTCTGTCAGATAATGCACCACTTCGCCCAGAAAATTGTTGCAATTACAAATGTTTAGGCATTCTCAGGTTTATTTCTTTTGTTTGTATTGGTATGACACAAAAAAGTGGCAAAACATAAAGCCAAATTTGACACATTCCATGAAAACCCCCAAAAATGGACTGGACAAAATTATTGGCACCTTCCTAAAATTTCTCAAAAAGAAATAACTGCATTCCAAGTTTGCGATTCTCCTGTAATTTATAATTAAACTCACCTGTATGAATTAACAGATCTTAATGTTCCTGTGATCACTCTTCTTACTAAATACATAGTGTGCTGAGTGAACAGATAATGGCTATGTGGATATAGCTGTTGTACTGAAGTCAGGCTGTTATCTGTTCACTCAGCACACTATGTCAAATGAATAATCTATGCAAGATGAAAGTTATGGTAGAAAAATAAAAATTGATGCATGTGTATTTAGTGAGAAGATTGATCACTGATTGATTGCATTTCATTTGATATTTGTGCACTTGGAAGTGGGTGGGAGGTAGGAGGGTAGACAATGCAGGGTGTGTGCTAATGAGGTCAGCTGGTCAATTCCTTCCTGTATCATGCCTGCAGGATTAAGGCAGAAGTAATGGAAAAGATTTTTATACAGCCATCTGGACACCGAGGTAAGGGTGTGTAGAATAAATGGAAAACTTTTGAATTTCTGCAAAACAAGTACAATAATTCTATATTGGTACATAGGGAGCTGGAATTTAGACAAAAAAAAGGTGAACAACGGTGAACTTATCCTTTAAATACCAAGTTTCTAAAAATGTATTTTTAAGTACATGTTATATTGAAAATGGTTGAATGTGCATTCAGTTAAGTTTTGTTACTTGGCTATTAGCTACTATAATGGAGGTCAGAAATAATGGATTTTTATTTTGTTTCATGAATTTGACAATATCTAATCCAGATGCACTATGTAACAAAGTCAACTTATCTGCATAATTTAGTTTGTGAGTTCCTGTGTCCCCACAGGGGGTAGGACATGAAGCTGCAGGCCATAAGAAGTGCATAAATTACTGTATCCTGCCTAAGGATGGAGTCAAACGCCTCTGTACTGCGAGGGCTCTGGTTGAATTAAAAGTGCAGGATAACAAAGGAGAGGGATGGACACGTAGGAGCTGATGGCTGCATGTCTTTCTAGAAGGAAGTTAGAAGATACACAGTACTGAAAGGACAGATAGATCAGTATGGACTGTTCTTCACTTTCTGAACTGCTGGGACTTGTAGTTCCATATTGTCTATGTTGCTTTTTGGACACTGGGACTCTGCTCCCCTCTCTGCTCTTCCTGTAACTGCTGCCTGTGGAGTCTGGACACTGTGGCCTGGACACACAGTCCTCGGAGGACCTGTGATGTGCCTATGAAGGACCTCTGCCCGCCAGACCATTTTTCCCCTGTCATGTTGCAAAGACTTCCTCAGCTGTAGCTGCTGTTAATTGGTGAGTCCCTGAACCCATGCTGTATCTATTGCTGCACGTCGCTCATTGTGCCTGGATTGTGGTCCTGGACTCTGGACTAAGTTCCTGCTGTATCCATTTGCTGCCCTGTGTGCTGGCCTCTACTCTTGATGTGCCATACCCTGCTGCCTGGATCCCTGCCTGTGCCTGTCTCAATTCACTTGTGTGCCCAGATCTCTGCCCTGTGCTGGGCTCAATTCCTTGTTTTCTGTCCCATATTACCATCCTGTGGAACCTTCTCTCTTTCTGTGTCTTTTGACTGCCCTGTAGACTAACTCCCTTGTTTGCTCTCCCCTATTGTTAACCTGTGGACTATCCCCCTTGTTTGCTGCTCAACATTGCTGTCCTGAGGAACACTCTTCATTGCTGTGCCTTCTGTTTGCCCTGTGTTCACAGGAAGGACTGTGGCCTAATTCAGCTGTGGCCCTCCCCAAGGGAGGATCCATCTATGCTCCCACCTACTGGCTTCAGCCGGGCTGCTGTGTTGTGCGCCAGTGGATTAAGGGTGCGTGACATCATTCTGCCGAATTGGGTGTGGTGACGGGGTTGCTTTAGCAACTTGGACTGCGCATGCGCGGTGTCTCCATTCCACTGCACATGCTCAGGTGTTTGATGCCATATTTAAATCTCATTGGCAGATGACTAGGCATTATCTGTCAACATCTGTGTTCCTATTACTGGCGGATTTCTCTCTTCAACTCAGGATCCATCTGTACTCTTAGGTAAGAACCTTTTTTGGGGACTCTCTAAGCTTTCTCCCTTAGGGGAGCTTTGGTCATATACTGCACCGACTTTGTCCTATATTGAGGGTTCTGTCCTGTCTTTCTGGGGGCCATTTCCCTCCTAGGCTCTTTTCAATGACTCTTTGTATACCGCTTATATATACCTCCTTGGGTCCTATTAATTCTGGGGCTCAGCCGTAAACTTGCACAGCCATAGACTTGCACATAATGCTTATCCAACACAGAAACAAAATTGTTGCAAGTTTTTATTACCGTCCCACCAAAGGGCATTGCATTTAAAAGTAAAGGTTGAATGTATTGTACTTGCCAACGTAGTGAAGGTATGCCCTAAAATAAGCTTACCATGTGGCATGGTCTACCACTTTATAGTGCAGCACTAACTTGCTTTGTCCAAAAGCAGTCTGGATCCACTAGTTAATATCAGCAAACGCAATAGTCTTTTTCACTAAAATTTTTCAGAGACTGCAAAAGCACACTCCATAGAGATTACATAGAAACAGGTACACCAAATAATTACCTTGCATGAAGTAATAATTACCTTGCATGAAGTTATAACATCCAAATAAAAGTTATAACAACCAAATAAAGAAAGTGGTAGCAATATATTCGAGTTTATGTCATTGGCAGTGTAGCCACAGTGGGTATAATAGAAAATAATCACATTTTGTTGCTTTTCAGCCTGAATGAAGACAGACACAGTTTTTGTTTTATCCAACTGTATTTACATCTTATAACATCCCAGTGAAAGCTACACTATTTTGGCAAAAGTATTCGGGATGTCTGCCTTTACATGCACATGAACTTTAATGGCATTCCAGTCTTAGTCCACAGGGTTCAATATTGAATTGGCAGCTATAAATCTTTAACTCTTCTGGGAAGGCTGTCCACAAGGTTTAGGAGTGTGTCTATGGGATTGTTTCACTATTCTTCCAGAAACGCATTTGTGAGGTCAGGCACTGATGTCGGCCGAGAAGGCCTGACTCGCAGTCTTCGCTCTAATTCATCCCAAAGGTGTTCTATCAGGTCCATGTCTTTATGGACCTTGCTTTGTGCACCGGTGCGCAGTCATGTTGGAATAGGAAGGGACCATCCCCAAACTGTTCCCACAAAGTTGTGTGCATGAAATTGTTCAAAATGTCTTGGTATGCTGATGCCTTAAGAGTTCCCTTCACTGGAACTAAGGGCCAAGCCCAACCCCTGAAAAACAACCCCACACCATAATCCCCCCTCCACCAAACTTTACACTTGGCACAAAGCAGTCAGACAAGTACAGTTCCCCTGGCAACCACCAAACCCAGACATGTCCATCAACTTGCCAGACAGAAAAGTGTGATTCATCACTCCAGAGAATATGTCTCCACCACTCTAGAGTCCAGTGGTGGCGTGCTTTACACCACTGCATCCGACGCTTTGCATTACACTTGGTGATGTTAGGCTTGGATGCAGCTGCTCGCAATGAAGCTCTTTATGCACTGTTGTTGTGCTAATCTGAAGGCCACATGAAGTTTGGAGGTCTTTAGCTATTGACCGTGTAGACAGTTGGTGACTGCTGCGCACTGCACGCTTCAGCATGCACTGACCCTGCTCTGTCATTTTACATGGCCTTCCAATTGGTGGCTGAGTTGCTATTGTTCCCAGTTGCTTCCACTTTGTTATAATACCACTAACAGTTGAATGTGGAATATTTAGTAGCAAGGAAATGTCACGGATTGACTTATTGAACAGGTGGCAACCTATCACGGTACCACGCTTGAATTCATTGAGCTCCTGAGAGCAAAATATTCTTTCACAAATGTTTGTAGAAGCAGTGTTCTGCATACCTAGGTGCTTGATTTTTATACACCTGTGGTCATGGAGGTGATTGGGACACCCCCCTCCAAATCATTGAATCCAATGATTTGGAGGGGTGTCTCAATACTTTTGGCAATATAGTGTCTAACACCAACATGTCGGGAAAAAAAAAATCAAAAACAGAATCAATGAGTTAGAAAAAGTTGCACTGAGTAAATACAGCTGGATAAAACAAAAACTGTGTCTGTCTTCATTTCAGCCTGCAAAGCAACAATATATGATTATTTTTAAGGGGTTGATTCTTTTTTATACCCACTGTAAGTACATTTATTGCTGTTGCCTTGGAACTAATAATCTAAGATGGGTACATGAAATATAATGAAGTTGCTAGTTCAGTGATATATTAGTATATATAGCCAACGCATTTCAGTTGAAATGCCTCCCCCTTCATCAGGGCTGTGTTGGTAGATGCTGTTGTGACAGACCTGGAAATCAGCTGCAAACATGTCCCTTAAAGTGGTTCTAAAGGCAGAAGGTTTTTTTTACCTTAATGCATTCTATATATATTCTTTATATGTTCTTTTATTCTAAAAAAACTTCTGGGTGCAGCTCCCCCCTCAGTCCCCCCTTATACTTACCTGAGCCCCATCTTGATCCAGTGATATGCATGAGAGCCATGACTCTCTTGGGTCTTTTTCTCCTCATTGGCTCACACAGCAGTGGGAGCCAGTGGCTCCTAATGATGTCAATCACAGCCAGTGAGCCAATGGGGAAAGAGTGGGGGCGGGGGGCCAAGCTGTGCTCTGTGTGTGAATGGATCAACTGCCCCCATAACAAGAGGCTTGCTATTGGAGGCACTCAGCAGGGGGGTGGAGCCAGAGCCGCCTGTGGGGGACCCAAAAAGTAGAGGATTGGGCTGCTCTGTGCAAAACTATTGCACAGAGCATGTAAGTATAACATGTTTGTTACTTTTTTTTTTATAAAAAATTACAACCTTTAGGATCACTTTAACCTCCTTGGCGGTATGATTCTTTCCGATTTGTGGTGCTGAAAGCGGTACCATTTTTTTGGAAATATGTAGTTTTTTTATTGTAGGCCTGTAATTCTTAGGAATAACTCACTGAAATCTGTCCGAACAAGAGTCTAGTAAACATCCCGGGTATGATAAAATTTGAAACACGTAATCATAAATTATAATTTAATAAATAATCATAAAAAATAATAATATAATAATAATACATTTAATTCAATAATATAATCAAACCAAAAACACTGAAATGTGAAATATAGCGCCAAGTTAGCACATTGCTGAGCAAAGTCGCAAAATCGTTTTCAGTGTCTGATGACGAATTTCCCCACAAATCATTATCACTCAATTCTGCAAGTGGTTCTGATTTACTATCGCTGTTCTCCTAGCAGATCTAAACCGCTTTTGACCTAAAGGGACACTTTTTGGACGCCATGGACGTTTCTCAGTTTCCAGGCAGAAAGAACAGACAAAATGCAGGCAGGGCGCAGGACAAAGCATTAGGGACAAGATGTATGTGAAATTGGTTGAGACAGCAATGTTTTACTATGTAAAATGTAAAAAAAAAAAAAAAAGACATTTTTTAAAAATTTTTAAATTTCCCGCCGCCAGCGGGACGTCACATGGACAGGACACAGAAGCCGGATGCCGGCATCGGCCGGAGGAGATGGCCGGGGACGCTGCAGGGGACACATCGTGGGAGCGCAGGGTAAGGTAAGTGAAGAACAAATGCCGGAGCAGTGCCGCATGGTATTCCCGAGTGTAGCTCGGGGTTACCGTTTGTGGTACTGAAATGTTATCCCGAGCTACACTCGGGAATACCGCCAAGGAGGTAAAGTTTCAGTACCACAAGCGTACCACAAGCGGTAACCCTGAGCTACACTCGGGCTTACCATGTGGCGCTGCTCCGGGATCTGTTCTTCACTTACCTTGTCCTGCACTCCCGCGATGTCCCTCCTGCCGTGTCCCCGGCAATGTAATCCGGTGGATGCCGGCATCTGTCTTCTGGGTCCCCCTGCGAGCGCCGGGACGTACGGGGGACGGAACAGCGGGAAATTTTAAAATGACAAAAAGTGACATTCACTAAATTCACTAAAATCACATAGTAAAACATTAATGTATCAAACGATTTCACATACATTATGTCCCGAGTGCTTTGTCCTGTGCCCTGCCTGCATTTTTACAAAAAGCGTCCCTTTAGGTCAAAAGCGGTTTTAGACCAGCTAGAGAACAGCGATAGTAAATCAGAACCACTTGCAGAATTGAGTGATAATGATTCGTGGGGAAATTCGTCATCAGACACTGAAAACGATTTTGCGACTTTGCTCAGTGATGTGCGAACTTGGCGCTATATTTCAAATTTCAGTGTTTTTTGGTTTGATTATATTATTGAATTAAATGTATTATTATTATATTATTATTTTTATTATTATTTATTAAATTATCATTTATGATTTCGTGTTTCAAATTGTAACATACCCGGGATGTTTACTAGACTCTTGTTCGGACAGATTTCAGTGAGTTATTCCTAAAAATTACAGGCCTACAATAAAAAAAATACATATTTCCATGCAAAAAAATGTACCACTTTGAGCATGGACATAATCAGACCGCTAGGGAGGTTAAGGTGCTGTCAAATTGTAGCTTATGGCAACTAACAATGTCAAGCTTCCACTGAAGTATGCCCAAATTGCATGTGCCTGAATTTCACCTCCTTTTTAGAGCACAGGGTAGCACAAAGGCATACCTTTATTCAAGTATGCAGCTCACTAGTGGCTTTATATAATAAACTGAAGGAACCAGCAGGCAACTGTAATAAAAGGTTAATGCTTATTGGTTATTGTTTTGATAGCAAATTACTATGCTTAACCTTTTAAGGTAGCTGGGTGTAGCAAAATATCTCACAACTTGTCCAAAATGGTATTACAACCAAAGAAGTTTACATAGCTTTGATCAAAGATGTACAACCCTAATTCCAAGAAAGTTGGGACGCTGTATAAAATCTGTATAAAAACAGAATGCAATAATTTGCAGATCTAATAAACCCATACACAAAGCCCAAACTTTTTTGGAATTGGGGTTGTATTACAGATGACAAACTGAATTAATACAGCACAAAATCAATCCAGGGGAGTCCCATAGATCAGATAATTACTGGAAATGACAAACTCGATCACAGGACGCACACAGGCACATTCACAATGATTCCCTGAATGAGACTCAGTCTTTAATTTCTATCTGTACGTAGCACTACCCCCTTAGGGATTGCTGATGAATTTGGGTCGCCCTAAAGTCCTGCACAGCCATTCAGCATTTTCCACACAAGCTTGCCCTCGAGTCAGAAATCAGTCCTTGAGCACTGGTTTTGTTATTTATTGAGAGGATTAGAACTAGGATAGGGTAAGGGGTATATAGGATGCCCAAAGGAACCGATAACTGAGAACAACTTCCTGAACTATTCACAAGCTTCCCTTCTCTGATGCAGTCTTTGTTGGAGTGGTAGTCAGCAGCTCCTAGTTGTACCACCCCAGACCTCAGATGAACTCCTCTTCACCCAGCAATCTGGAGACTTTCTTTCTGAGCAGGGTATCTGGCTTCTGTTCCTTTAAATAAGGTGGACAGTCACTAGCAGAGGGCTAATCTGGTCTCCCCCCCAGAGTGATCCTTCCCCTATCCACCCAGGAGGTGCAGGTGTACTCACTCATATCTTCTTCTGTATTGCTTGCAGGATGGCTGCTGCTACCAGGCCTATCAGCTGGGCTGCTCCTTCCCTGCCATATGGGTGGTCCTCTCTCAGAGGGCCAGTGAGTCCCGAGCTTTCCTCCTTTCCAGCTCCTGGCTCACTGCAGGCCCCATCCCATTAGGCCTCCTGGCAGCCTTCCTTCTCCAGCCTCACATCTTCCCACTCCTTCTTCCACCCGACTCCTCACACTCCTCCTACTGAGCAGGTTCCTACACTTGTAAGAGAGTCCCAGCCCCTTGCCAAGCCTTCTGTTGGGGATTGGCTGAAGTCCCTCAAGAGTGCAGCCAGCCACTCCTCAGATCCACATACTGCCTCCAAGGCCCTCATTTGAAAGCCTCAGCGCAGGGGGAAATGCCAGAGGGGCTGGCCTGCAGAGTCTCTCAGTCCAGAACAGAATTTGACCCCTCTAGTTATCTCACCTGAGCTGCTAACCAACCCCTGACTAACCATTAGGATATAGCTCCCTCTAGCTAAACTAGGAGGGTGCTACATGTATATACAGTATGAATAAGTGTCCACACATATTTGGAAATGTATGCAACTAAAATCTCGTTTTTTTTACCCGAGCATTTGAAACAGATTAGTTTTTTTTCTTTGCTAGATTGCTTGCAATATTCTGTTGGGTTTTTTTTTACATCACTGGGCAATATGTACAAAGTTGGGGGCTTTAGCTTTATTATAGCTTTTAGATCTGTTGTGGCTGCTCCTTCTATCTTCAATTCAAACCTATTACCATCAGGTGTTACAGCTCAAAATAACCTTTTTTTCAGTTTGTAAATATTCATATTGGGTGCTGCTGCTGTATTTAAACCAAGCAATAATTTAAAAGTTTAAAAAAAAGCAATTACACATCCAAAATATGCAATGCCTGAATACGGTGTAACTGGTGCTGTGCATGAAAACTCTACTATTCTGTATGCAGTTTAAAGGCATTTCCAAACATGTAATTTATAGAATGTTTAAAGCTGCACTTCAGGAAAACCAAAAATCACTGTGCGAAAGCTGATTGTCTGTGGTTTAATCATAGTTTATGTATGAGTAGAAAGTGTTGCCCCCCAGTGGGAATAAGGGGAGACTTTCTGAATGTGTTATGTGAGCAGCAGGTGCTTCATTTGGATTCTACCTATTCATGAACTGTGATTACACCATAGCCAAGCAGCTTTCTCTAGGCACTGATTTTTATATTGGACTTACTGCAAGAGAGTTTGCTTCGTTTCCAGATGAAAACTCGTACATCTCTGTTGATATCCCCCATACACATCATCAATCGAG